ACAGCAGTGGTCTGGATCGCTTTTTGCTGTGTTCCAGATTCTTCTCATGCTCGGTTTTTTGGACACTGTTCACTTCACATGGTCCATTTCCTGTGAACTGAAGTAAATAAAGAATGATTTCAATATTCTCTTCTCGGTCGGCGCAAATAAAGAACCCTAAAAATCTGAACACAACAGAGAACAAGTAGTTAAGTCACTTGTTCTGCAAAATTCCAAAAAATGAAGAGGAACAGAGTTCATCTACTGGCTGTATGTTTTCCCATAATGTTTTGCATTCCTAAAGCTTCTTTACGTATTCTACGTACAAACAGAGAGTATTCGATATTCTGCCTTGTTCTAAGCATACACGTACCAAAGACCTTTTAGCCTCCGGGAGGAACTGTCCAAACTCAGAAAGCAGATCCTCCTGTCCCCTGAACAGATTTGCTACTTCAGTAAACACTTCTTCCTCTGACATGCCTCGAAAGGGTCGGCCTTTAGTGTTCAGCTGTTCTTTCTGAAAAGTTATGCACAGATGTTAGAGTCAAAAATTCACTATGCAAGAAAACTCATCACCTCAGCCAAAAACCTTATGCTACACAAACTTGAAATAGCTTGTATCAGATAGCCCAAGGTTCTTACAGTGCATCCTTTCACACAGAATATCACTACATCAACCAAAGGTCAGTAAAGACAGATCTAGATACAATCCCTTTACACCTCAGACCCTGGAAAGTTCTACAATTTTCACGCTTTTGTCATTTCATGTGAATATCTATAAGGCAATTGTTGGACAAAGGCGAGTGCCTGGGAACTGCGTAAGCCTGTTCAATGGGCAGACATTTCATTTGACAGCTACTCCTCAAACAGCTACAGTGCAAACCCACAATTGCTTATATGGAAGACTTTTTACCTGGTAAGTATGAAGAATTTCTAAAAAGGATCTGTAAATTTCTGGATGGTCAAGAAAACGTGTTTTGATCTTATTCACGTAACTGATAGCATTATTGAACTCTACGGAATCAGACTCCAAAGGAATTTGGGATTTATCTTCTTTGTATGGAAGCTGTTGCCTGAACTCCTCGGAGCAGTCACTGTGATTGTGCGAATTCTCCTGGGAGTAATGCAACAACAGCCCGCTGCCAGGGAGAGCGCTGGGAACAGGCTCTGAGGGCACCTAGTGGCATAAGACACGCAAGACAGTGACTTGTACAGAAACGTAGGGGCAAGTTCAACAACAATCTAGCATCACGATTTTCCAAGCTGTTTAGCTAAAAAAGATTACCACGAAAAAAGATTTAATTAGCCAATAAATTTCCCTACCTAGTTTATTAACACCATCAGTTAAAAAAATCCCCTAAGTCGTATCTCGCTTACGAACCATCTGACTCATTACCGCTTTTGACTGCCGCTGCATTATCCACTACACTTGCGAGGGCGTACCACACAACACGCACCGCAGGTTCTGTTGCCACTGTTTTATTTCAGAGGAACCGTCAGTTTTAAGAAACATATTAAAACGTAAGGCTCTTAAAGATGCTAAATTTCTAAGCAACAGAGATCTAAGGGAACTGAGATCTATAAGATACTTACTGCTACTAATTGGAGTTAAACCACAAGTTTATCAGTAGAATTCAGGTAATAGCTTTGTTTCAGCCTCCACAACCACACAACAACAACAAAGAAGGAGAGGCCGATATGTATCCATCTGTATTACAGCAGCTGTCTTTCACTGCAGGATGTTAGCAACTGCGTGGCAATACCTGACATCTATTTTTTGCCTATTGTCTAAACACATTTCCCAGTTTCTCAGTGGAAGTCTGGAAACGCGATTCTTCCAGAATCTCTTTTTGAAATTTGTCGCTACACACACCACATATTGACGATCTACATAAATATGTCAAGCCAATTACAATTTCAGTTTTCAAATCTGACTGAAGTATTTGGAGTTGAAGCGTCACTTCATGCAGGAATATCATTCTTGTGTAAGCTAAACTAACAACTGGTTTGAGAATAAATATTTAAATTTGTATTATACCCATTATCATAGACTTCGAAAACCATGTAAAAACTTTAGCAACATGCAATACACGTAAATCTACATAGTCTAAACTGTGCAAGAGATGTGTATAGTGACACATGGAACAGAATTTATTTAGAGAATGAGAGCTCTATAACCTACCTGACTATTCAAAGGTGACTGTATACTTAACTTCCCGTTCTTTGGAATTTCTATCCTATAGCCCAGAGGGAGGAAAGCATTGAATCCTACAATGAGGTCAGGATGCTCATGGAAAAGCTGTGAAACACGTCGGATTACTCCAGGTGTGTCAATGCTAAAATTGAGAAGAGTTTGTTACTTGTGTCCAAATCAGAAATACACGTTAAGCCTAGCAAATTACAGAGGTGTGCGAAGCATCTGCCTTCTTACAGATGCGATTTTTTAACAAGCAAGTTTGGGAACCTCAGACCTAGAAATTAGCCCAAGCCGAGGGAACGACCAGCATCCGCTGCAGCCCCATACTGGGAGCGTTACCCACAGAGAGGAGATAAACGGGCAAGCCAGCTGTCACCTCGAGGGCCGACAGGTCACAGAGAGGCTCTGCACTCATGCTTCTTCACTTATTTTCCAGATCTGCATTTCAGAGTGGGAAGTAAAAATAGATTTGCCTTTTCCTGTGGATTTCATCTCTGGAAAATGATGGGATGGACAGAGACCCTCCACCTCCAGTGTCTAGTGACTGCACTACTGGGGAACAGGCCAGCAGGGTGGCCTGTGTGTCTGCGGAGGTGGAAAGATGATGTGAAGGCTGGGGGATCCTGCAAAGGCAGCAAGACCCCCGCCAAGGCTGAGGAGCTCCCTGGAGCAGCCCTGGGGCACAGGGCCTGGGCTTTACCTCTGGCTCTTGAACTCTTTCATGATCTCCAGAAAGCCGTTGTAGGTGGCGGGGTCGCTGCCAAAGCGGATCTTCACCTGGTCCAGGTAGGAAAGCGCATCCTCCACCTGCGGGGTGAGAACGCGGGTGAGGCCCAGAAAGGGGGAATGGGCCCTGAGGCACCCCAGGGTCCCAGAATGGGGGCAGGGGCACCCCACGGCACTGAGGGAGGGGGGAACAGGCCCCGGGGGAGTCCCCCAGCACCGGGGAGGGGCACACGGTACCAGATGAGGAGGGCCCGAGGAAGACAGGCCCCGGTAGGGCACCACCGTACCGGGGAAGGTGGGCCTCACGGTGCCGCAGGAGGATGGCAGGGCACGGAGGGGGGCACGGTACCGGGGAGAGGGGAAGAGGTCCCCGGGGAGCATGACCGCGGTACCGCAGGAGAACAGCCAGGCTGGGGAGGGGGG